GTCGTGACGTTTCTCCGGTCCGTCAGCAACTTCGCACAGTTCAAATTTCGTTCCTTGGCTTACAACAGCGTCTGTCGCTTTGTACTATAAAGCAAAAATTTGAATCATTTTAGAAAAAGAAAGAAGTACTGTTACTCGTCCGAACAGAAAACCGGAATATGCGCCACACTTTCGCGCACTTCCAGTGCCCAGTCATTTCTCATATGTTACAAATTACTTCTTTTTGACAGCATTTGCGGTGAAATAATGAAATTTAGCGGCAATTAAATAAATTAGTGGCACTCACTAAAGTGGAAACATGCGACCCCAGAGAGGACGGCCTATCATAGCTGTGCCCACTGTGCCATGCATCCCAGTAGCATCGGTAATAATCGGTTTCTCACAAGACGGGGCGATTTTGATATTTTAGCACATCTCCGAGGACTATCACACAATGGAAGTGCTAATGGATTGCTCACCTGATCACCAAATGCATGACGACCAATAATGATCGGTTCTTTCCAGCCTGGTACAAGTCTTGGAATGTTGTTACACAGGATCGGCTCACGAAAAACCGTTCCTCCGAGAGCATTTCGTAAGGTGCCATTCGGACTCAACCACATTTTCTTCAGATTAAATTCTTTCACTCTACAAAAAGCACACATATTTAAAAAACACCCAGTCGTATTCTAGGTCTGGAAGTGCTCATGTTCGGGACGATGGTGATTAATGCTCAACACGCACAAGACATCTTAACACAGTTAAAGTCATGTGCTTTTATCGGAAAATTCGCCGAGATGGTAATTCCTTCCGGAGACGAAACCAAGTCAGGAACAGACCAACATACTGGCCAACAAACGGTGCAGCATTGGTCAAAGCAACTCGAAGAGCCGTAAGCTGGGTAGTTGGAGAGCCATTCTAAATCTATTCTAAATACTTTGAGTTATTAGGATGCTTATTTATTTTCCGATTCTTTTGAAAAATGAATGAGTGAATTCATGTGGCTCAAAAAATATCATCCATGGGAATGGAAACATTCAAATGAATCGGACACATGTACTGGGCCCTCACCTGGCCTCATCAGGCGTTATTGTGGCGCACTTTATTCCAACATTATACTTCTTGATTGCCTCCGCTGCGTCATGTGTAATTTGGTCGTTTGTTCGGTCACGATTCGGCAAGCCAAGGTCGTAGTATTTGATGTCAATGTCGAGGTACGGCAAAATAAGCTACAAGATTGTAACATACTTTTAACGTGGTTCCTACGAACAGGCCCACTAAAAATTGTAATTTGGGTCTTGAGATCCGTGGAATTTCACGCTTTAACTTCGGAAAATGCTGCTTCGAGTTTTAACGAATTCGTTTCCGGCTCCTTTCTTAACATGTGATCTATGACGTTCACGAGAGGAACTTAGGAACTTATAAGTTTAAGTAACAAAAAATAAGAAAAGTGCAACTTTAGGACAAAAAAATAATTGATGACTTCTTGGTTGAGAGCGACCATACTTTGTCACCAATCCTTATTTTCCTTGTATCATGCAACATCAGGAAAAAAGACGCGAAGAAGCTGGATGGATGCACCCGCCTGACGCCAGACAGATGTTCGAGGGACGATCAGTAAACGGAGGAAAAATGCGTTTAAGCCATCTGTGGAGTTTCGCGAATGCGGCAAATCCAAAATACGGAAAAATGTAGAGAGAAGTTGCGAGTTGCACCAGTGGCGAACGGGAAAACGATTGGCTCTGTACTGTACGGGAATTTTCACGTTGTATCACTGGTGGATGCGAATTGGTTTCGGCGAGCAAAAACGAACCTAGCGATGTGGAGCAGCAAAGAAAGTGGAAAAAATTTTGAGAGGAAAAGCATGCCCACTTTTTTCTTAATTTCAGCC